GACCCCAGCTTTAGTAGCTATTGCAACTGCAATCGTTCTGCTGACCCTTTCCCCATCTGTTTCTGAGCTTTAACCACAGATTCCTCATTTGAGATTGATGGTCTTCTCCTCCCTCTCTTGCCTTACCTTTGAGGTCTTCCTGACTTTTCCTAAAATGCTAGATTCATTTATAACCTTATCTTATGTAAGGCAGCATTCCTATCAAGTTGCTACAAAGCTTCAGTGATTTAGAAATAATTCTCATTTGAGTTTTGTTAAAAATTTGGTATTTTCCTGTCAAGGGAATGGCACATGAGGTTTGTAGATGCTAGAAAGTCCCATTCTTCTCACTCACACCAAAATCAGACTGTTGACTCATAAAGCAGTAGAAGCTGTTGAATCAGTTCAAGTAATAGTGTGTTGGGTCAAGTTCCAAGAACCAGAGTCACACAGAGGCACGGCAAATACAATATCCAGAGCAAGAAAGTGAGCTTTGCCAAAGATGCTCAGTGTAATTACAGAGAGGCAAACCATCTGAAAGTGAGGTCTTGCTTGCTTAGCCAAAGGGGTGAACCATTAGTCACCAAGATGGCTCTGTGAGCCCTGGGGACGATCCCTTGCTCACAGTTGAGGCTTTGATAAAGATATAAGTTTTGCCTTATGATACCAAACGGTCAGGGATAGCAGCTGTTCTCAACCTGTGGGTCGTGACCCCTTTGGGGGTCGAACAACTCTTTCACAGGGGTCTCCCGATTCATAACAGTAGCAAAATTACAGTTATGAAGTAGCCACAAAAATAATTTTATGGTTGGGGGATCACCACAACATGAGGGTCGTGGCATTAGGAAGGTTGAGAGCCACTAAAGTAGAACATAGACTGTTCACTTCTGTGCATGTTCAAGAGGTCAGATCCAGTTTCAGCCAGTTCTGTGACCCCAGGTTTCTTTTTAAATTAAGCCGGAATTCCGTAAGTGGTTTGCCTACTAAGGGAACAGCTTAAAAATTGTTCAAACTCATATCACAGGTGATAGTCTGCAGACCACATTCCTAAGGAAACTAAAGGTAATAATTTGAACCTTACTGTCCCATAAGGCGGGGGATCAAGATATATCCTACCTTGATCCTGCCTCATTATCATATAACAGATAACTCACTCCAAAATGGGATTATGACCATAAAAGTAGAAGCTAGAATTTGTAATACATACCAAAATAGAGGACTGTGGGTCATTTAAAATAATTAACTACACAGCAACTTTTTAAAACCTGTTTTATTTAGAGTAAACCCATGCATGTATAAATTGGAAGCCCAGCAGCAATATTTTTGTCTTATTCACACACATTATTTCCTTTACCCAAGGATGCACTTGAGGGTTGACATTTCTATTTGTACAAAAAGTGTCTGGAATATGATTGAAATTGTGTTCAATCTTTAGGTTACTTTGGATATTTTATGGAACTTGACATGATTAATGCCATAAACACAGAATACCATTTCATTTATTTAGGTCCTTAATTTCGGGTCGGCTAATACTCAAATATATACGGTGCATCTTCATAGAAAGGAGACATAACTTTGTGAAAATGTCAATACTACGCAATGCAATCTGTAAATATGTAATTGCAATTCAGATCCCAGCATCATTCTTTAAATAGATGAAAAAACTACTCTTCAACTGTGGTAATAATTTCATTTATAAGAATTAGTATCAGAGTAATACCTGACTGATATACGTACACTGAAAGCACTTGCTCATCATACAGGAGCAAACAAAGAGGGAAGGAGAGAGAGTGGAACACATCCTGGCCACCAAGCCCTGAGGATGATATTCCTGCTCAGAGCAGCCTATGCACAGAGATGACCATAGGGCTGGCCCCACCACGAGACATGATGTCCCTCACTGACCATAGCGCTATGAGGGACAACACTGGAGGCAGAGTGTGGGAATTGTGCCTTACCTGACACCACCACACCAAGGCAAAATGCTCAGGGCGTGCAACAGAGCAGCAAGGGGAGCAAAGCAATGAAGTCTCCTTTCTGTGAACATACACTGTATATACTTGCGTATTAGCTGGCCCAAATATCAGCCGAGGCACCTAATTTTACCACAAAAACAGCATTAAAAATGTGCTGGAAAACGGCTTACATACGAGTATATATGGTACATTCTTCCAGTTTTGTGGGTCTTGTTCGTTTCTTGTAGTGTTTTGTAGTTTCCTTCCTACAAGTCTTTTGTTTCTCTGGTTGGGTTTGTTCCTAGGTATTTCATCTTTTGGATGGCTATTCTAAGTGATAATGTTTTCTCAATTTCCTTTTCAGAGCTTAGTTAATGTACAGGATTGATTTTTGGTTGTTGATGTTGTAACCAGCCACATTCCTTAATCTTTCAATTATTTCCAACAATTTTCTTAAGTCATTGGGGTTTTCTGTATATAGAATCATCTTCAAATTGAAAGGTTTGTACATCTTCCTTGCCAGTTTGGATGCCTTTTTGTTTTTGTTGTCTAATAACTGTGGCTGAGACTTCCAGCACAGTACTCAATAAGATTGATGGTAAATGGCCATGACCCTAGTTCCTGTTCAAAAGTGAGTACTTCTCCCCACTGAGCAAGAAACGGGCCAGTGGTTTTGCATATATGCCCTTTATTGTGTAGAGGGATCTTCTTTCTATTTTGATTTTGTTGAAAGCTTTTATGAGGGATGTATGTTGGATTTTGTTAAATGTGTTTTCTGCATCAATTGATTATGATTGTATAGTTGTTTTCCTATGTTTCGTTTATATAGTGGATTACAACTTTTTAATTTCATTTGTTTTACTTGGGATTCTCCTATTTCATTTTTTTATTAATGGTATCTGCTTCTTTTCCTCTGTTAAGTTTGCCAATGGTTTATCAATTTGTTGTTAATCCTTTCAAAGAACCTTTTGTCCTGTTGATTCCATTGTTTTACTGTTTTCTGGTTCATTTATTTCTTCACTGATCTTTCTGATGTCTTCTCGGGTAACTGAAGGTTCATTTTGGTGCTCTTGTTCTAATTCTTGGAAATGTTAAGGTGATTTTGGAGTCCTTGTGGAACATAGTGAGTTACAAGTTGGGCTGCTTAACTATAAGGTCAGCAGTTTGATCCACCGGAGAAAGACTTTCTGCTCCCTAAAAATTTAGTGTCAGAAACCCTAAAGGGTAGTTCTTATGGGTTCTTTGTCTTATGAGGTCACTGTGAGTCGGAATTGAAGCATTACAGTGAGTTGCTTTGGACTTTGATAGTTTACTCTGTACAAGGAGAGACATCAAATGACGATATCATTACAAACACGTGTCTCATTTAGCTTATAGTTATGTTAGGTTTCTCAGGTGAGTAATGACTCGGTTCTTGGCTTCGCATGAGAAAGAATTCACGCCGAAGCCTGGTTTGTAATCCAAGTGGGTTTTTATAAAGGACTGGAAAAGTTTCAGGTTTTACAGCCTCAAGAGTTACTCGCTATATCAGGGAAGCATGCCAAACCTCACACAAGCTGCGCGGGGGCTCACAACTGAACATGGGCAACCTCTGCACACCCACACTTGATGACGTGAGGCCAGAGAGACCTATGCTGAGCAGAGGCAGGAGCAGGGTAAAAGAGAGGAGAACCCTTTCCCACCTGTCACTGATTGGAGCAGAGGTTAAAGAAAGTAAGTGAGAAGAGAGGCTGTGGGTTGAGAATAGGCCCAGAGTGGGCCCTAAGAGGACTCCACCCAGGCGGCACCTGCGGTCTCCAACTTAGACCTCTGACCTGGAGCAAAGTAAAAAGAGGGCGTCTTAACCACAGCCAGGATATTTAAAGCTTCTGGCTGGGGAGCCGTGGTTGATGATATTGGCAGACTCCATTGGCTGACTTAAGCCCACCTGGGCCTAGTTTGGGCAGCCCAGGTGTAACGCCCATCTGGGCTCGGGGGAGGGGGTTGAATTGGAGCATGCCCAATTAAAGTCTTTATGGGTGGTTAATGCTTGCCTGATTTTCTTTTCCTAACCTCCTGTAGGGGGCCTGTGTAAGCATGGGAGGAACAGGGTAGTTAGTTCTATCCTGTCCTGTTAGGTGAGTTGGAATTTTCTCAATGGCAGTGAGTTTGTTTGAGTGCAGTACATTGTTATCAAACCATCAAGTTGATTCTAATTCATAGTGACCATATTAAAGGATCTTTGAGGCTGTAAATCTGTAAGGTAGTAGAAAGCCTCATCTTTCTCTCAGAGCAACTGGTGAGTTTGAACTGTTACCCTGTTTAACAGTTCAACACTTGCTAACATTCTATAAAGGCATTTTGAGTGAATATGTGAATGAATGAATGAATGAATGAATGAATGAATGAATGAATGAATGAATGAATGAATAATGGCTGCATTGAGATTTATGTAGAAGTGCAAGATACTAACAATTAGGCAGACTAATTCTAATGTAGTATGAACATGAGAGAAACTGTGTTGTTTAGTATCTAGTGATCCACTAGATATTAAAGGTAAGTAGGATGATTGTAGAAACTTATTCAGGACCTTACTACAGTGAATTTGGTAGAATACGGGAATAATTAAACTCTATTAGAGTAGCATTAATTGTTAAATTAGGTGGAAAATAGACTAAGTAACCTATGGAAAAACAAGTAGCAAATGTTTATTTGCTTGTTTATTTTTTCATATTTGTATGGGGTAAGATAAAGTATAAAGAATATGTTACTGTGCTTTAAAATGTTTTCACTATTACACACACGCACAAACAACTGCAAGAGTCAGAACATGCATTAACACTTAACTACTGTAGAAACTACCAGGTAGACCTGCAGGATATTCTTCTAGGAGTTTAGCTGCTGCATATATGGCAATGTAAAATTGAGAGAATGAGAAAATATTGAAGGAATATGAAAAAGGTGTTTGGGATTGGCTTCCACCCACTTTCCACCAGAATCACCAGTCTTCTTTGCCCCTTCTCTTATAAAGTATTTCTGAATTCCTGTGAGTTTTGACCCTTAATTGTTGTTTTCCTTTAACTTTCAGGTGTTGGCAAATCGTGCTTATTGCTACAGTTTACAGACAAGAGGTTTCAGCCTGTGCATGACCTTACTATTGGTAAGTTCTATAAGAGATGAGAAGCATTAAAAAAAGTACAGATAGTGGGACTAGAAGATACTCGAAGATCCATTCTAATAGTAACAATTCCAGAAATTAATTTATCACTGTACAGAATGTAATCTCCATTAGAAGAAGAAGAAAAAAAAAATACCCAATCTCACAAAGTATGAGCATTATATCATTTAATAAATGTGAAGCTTTGAATGGTGCCTGGCAGCATGGTATGTGTGCTAGGATTACCTGTAATTAATACTCAAGAAAAAACTCCCACTTAATCTTTTAAAATTTTCCTTGACTATAAAGAGCAAATGAAATCGTTAACTGACAACAGACTAAATCATTCGTACTAGGTCTTATCTAAAATGGGAGCCGTGGTGGTGTAGTGGTTGAGTTGGGCTGCCATCCCCATAGTTGGCAGTTAGAAACCACCAGCAGCTCCTTGGAAGAAGACTGGCTTTTCTACTCCCATAAATGGTTTCAGTCTTGGAAACCCACACGGGGCTTCGATGAGTCAGCATTAACTTGATGCCAGTGAGTTTGATTTTTCATTTATTATTTAAAATAGTGGTATTGCTCATTCTTACTGTACATAACAAATATAAAATTAAATTGCATGAAAAACTAAAAACACCTTAGATAAAAGTACAATATGGGGGTTTCTGATTTGTTTTTAAAAACTGTTCTATTTCTGCCTGGAAACCTAAAGAATCTAGATGGAATGTTCTTTTATGACTACAGCCAGCAATTAAAAATTAATTGCATATGAAGAAATAAGGTAATTAGAAATCTAATTATAATTTATAATTGATAGCTTGACAAATCTTTTGGCATACCTTATTTTCTTAAGTATTATAAACTTAGAATTATTTAGCATGTTGGTTCTTGTGTCCTTATTTTTTATTAAATATATAACAAAGACTAGAGTATGTACATCAAATTATTAGATCAGTTAGCAGTCATACCTTGGTTGTCAAACAGTTCCAAGCTTGAACCTTTCCGCTACTGGAACAGCAAAATTAGAAAAAAAATCTGCTTGGTGTTCATAACTTTGCTCAATAATCCTTCTGAAAATTCAACTTGGAAAAACCTGTACAGGCCAATAGTGAGTCACACTTTTAGTTTTGCCTTGGACACAAAGGGATGACTAGTCTAAGCACTGCTCTGGCTTAGGCAACATACAGTGCTTATGTTAGCGCATTAAAACATTGGTCACTGCTTTTTTTGAACTTTATTTGCATAAAATATCGTAGCCATGACTGCAAAGAAAGTTCATGATAACAGCAGCAAAGAAGAAAACTGCGAGAATCATGATAGAGTTAATGAAAGAAATCATTGGGAAATTTGAATCAGGTCACCACTTGTCTGATTGAGCATCTGAATCCAACATGACTAAGCCGACATTATCAACACGTTTTGGTGGGGCAGGAAAGTGATGAGGAGCGAAAGGTGTGAAATCATTAACTACAAAGCAAAGAACCAAGACCATCGAAGAGATTGAAAAGTGACGATTTTTGGATAAATCACAAACAACACGATGGTGATAGCGTATCCGAGACAGTGATATATGAGAAGGCTAAAAGCATCCGTAGTGATTTAAAGTCCTGGAAAAATGAATTTATAAATGTAATTTTGGGGCCTCAGACCCAATTATTTTATTTTCTATTATTTCTTATGGGAAAAATGTGTTCCATTCTCGAACGTCTTGATGTTCAAACACAAATTTGGAACGGATTGATTGCAATAACCAAGACATCACTACGTATCAGTGGGGAAACTCCCCTCTTAGCTTGTGTTTCTGTCTAACATCTACCTGTAGTTCACCACTATTGGTAGATTGCATATATAACAATAATTGCCTCTCATCTTTAATTCTTGAAAACCTCCCAATGTCTTCACAGGCTTCCCCATCATTTTTTGCCAACCTCCTTCTTACTGTTTATTGCCTTCCTCTTTACCCAAGTTAACGCGCTCTAGTTTCCCCTAGCTTTCCTCTCATACCTGGTAATCAAAGAATGCTTCTTTCAGTGTGAACACCTTTTCTTTTTATAAACCTTTTCTTTTTCTCATACGATACTTGTCCCTTTGTGATTGACTAATTTCACTCTGAAAAATGTCCTCAGCTCACCATGTTATGAGATGTTTTGCAGATTCTTCATCGTTCATTAATATTGTAGAGTACAGTGAACCCTCGTTTATCAGTTCTAGACCCTACCGTGATAAATGAAATTCCGCGAAGTAGGATTCCTTATTTGTAAATCAAATATTTTCACAGTTAGAGCATAGAGGACATGAAAAAACACCCTTTAGTCACCATTTATTAAACTTTGCTGTTACAGCTGGGTTAAGGTAGTATCTCATTTTTTATTTATATCTCTTGAATTGCTAAAGTCTGGGAACATTTCTTCATGTTTGTTGAACACCTGTATGTCTTCTCTCGCGAAATATATGTTTATATCCTCTGCCCATTTTGAAAATTGGATAATTTGCCTGTGGGTTTGAGTTTTTTAAGTTTGACCTTTTTGCTGTTGTTAAGGTGTCATTGTCAATTTCACCCTGTTTGTGTCTTTTAACTGTTTTGGTGACATCTTTTGATTCACATAGATTTCTTTTAGGAGATCTCAGCTAACTTGTGCTATTTGTGTGTTTTTCATTATGTTGATAGTGTATGTATGCCATTTATTAGCACCCCTATGTTTGTCCCTGTCTTTTTCTTGATGATTCTAGTTCTAGGTTTTACACCTAGGTCTTGGTCCATCTTGTTTTTTGCATATGGTGTAAGATATGAGACTGCATCACATCCCACCAGCAAAACTCGAAGCGTCAGGTCCTTGGCCATCCCTAAGCTAACACCTCAACTCTGGGCAGTTTTATTTCTTTGTTTTTTCACTTTTATTTCCCTCCTCAATTTTTAACATTCTCTATGCTTTCCTTTCCTCTTTATTTTTCCCTTCTCCTTCTATCTTCATTTAAAAAACCTTTTTTTTAAAAAACGATTCTGTACTCATTCTTTTTTCCCCATCCTCCCTAGTTTTGCTTATTGTATTTGCTTTCATTTTTTTTTACCCCCTCTTGTGTGTAAATTTCTTTCCTTTTTAGGTTTTATTCTTGCTGTTATTTACCTACTTCCCCTGGTTGTTGCTTCTTTAGTTTATTTAAATCATTTTATTTTTCCTGTTGTTTGTTTTTCTTTCTTTTCTCTTGGCTCACTTAACAACTGTTCCCACAGACCTAGTCACACCCTTACCTTTTGAACCCCCACCTAAATGGGTGGGGGAGCACTACCTACTCCTACACCAGATCACCAATAGACAGCAGCCAAAAACTCTCCCTCCACTGTATACATGAACAAAGAACAGCACACACAGTCACATTATCGCACCCACCAGGAAGCAGATAGTAAGTGCTTGTGGGTATACCAACATTCAAGCATCAGCTAAATACAAATATAGCATTAAATATAGAATTTCAAAGAATGACATTTAAGTACTTTCAATGACTTGAGAGAAAGATCAGGAAAACTGCAGACAAAATCAAGGAAAACAAAATTTTAAAGGAATCTAGGAAGACATACAATAACAAACTAAATGAAAAAAAATTTAAATTACACACAGCTAATAGAAATTCAGAAAATTAAAAGTAGATGATTAGTGAGCTTGAAGACAAATCTCCCTACTTATGTGATAAACAATCAGGAAAAAGAATGAAAAATCCAAATAACAGATCTGCAGTTAAACTCACTCAGTTTTAAGTAATCAGCCATTTACACGCAAAAGGGCAGCATTTACCAAGGACAAAGTACAGAGGGTTAGGAAAGGAGGGATGTCAGTAGGAAACAGAGAGGATAAATGAGGAAACACAGAAGAGATATAATAACATGCCCAGGTCACACACCAAGTAGGTATAGCTTATGAGCAGAATTCTCAATAAATGGTTTAATTTCTACGTGAGTGATTGTGATCTAGACACAATTCAAATATTCAAGTATTTTTGAATATTTTGAAAAATATTCAAAAATACTAAAAGATTCAGTTATTTTGTTTGGGGAGATTGGATATGAATAACATACCTGAAAATTAAGCACCAGTCTCTGACAATGCCAGATAGTTGAGACCTTGCTTTTGGCTCTACAGACATTTTTTTCTGGCAATAACATTGGCTGTTATATTAAATGTATATATCTGGATTGAGAGACTCCAGGGCATAATGGGTAATTGGTTTACCCTATACAAAAAGATAAAAGTTTTTCTCAATGGAATTCCCAATGCACTGTTAAGAGGATTTAAATTTTTTGACAACACAGAAGAGAAATGTTAGCTTGTTTGCTTGTTTGTTTCTTGTATTTGTTTTAACTTATTTGATACATAGGATATAAGTGTAAAGCCACATTGTACTCCTGAGAAGGTATGGCGAAGAATTGTTGAGGTTGACAGTCCTCTCTCTTGAGTCAAGAGTTCATTAGTTCAATCATATTACAAAGTTTGGTAATCATCACCACAATCAATTTTAGGATGTTTCTTCCTCTGCTCATTTTTGTTAGTCCCCCTTTTCCCACTGTGTTAGTTTGTGTACTTTGGAGAAACAAGTCCACAGAAACTCATGTATAAGAGAGAATTTTATGTAAAGGTTAAGTGGGCATCAAGAAAACATCCAGTGCTGCCCAAACCCACAAGTCCAACATTCACCCATTAACCCATATGTCCATCACCAATCCACAAAGTCCTCCCCCATCTCACCAAACAGACACAATGATGCCGACTGCAGGAGGAAAGCCGAGTCAGTGAATGTGTAAGCATTTCCACAGGGCTGCTCCAGCACCTAGGGCTGCATTGGGGTAGGTCCATGTGGCTTCTCCTTGGGGATGTCTTGCAGGAAGTCAGCCTTGTAAGCTGAAATAGGGAACTGCTAAGGCAGCTGCACCCTGGTGTGACCATCAGAAATCAAAGAGAACTAGAAAGGTGAGGCTCACAGCCATTTATCTCTCAGCCCTTCAATTATCCCCACGTGTGCTTATCGGCCAGTTTAGCACAATAAACTAACTACGTCACCCACCATCCTTCCCCGCCATGACCTAGGAAACTGTCTCTATATATTTACCTATCCTGGGTTTCACATACAGAAATACATGTATCTCTTGAATCTGTTTATTTAGTTGTTTCAATATTACTGAATTTGAGTAATATAGAGGTATTCCTAACCTATTTTAAAACGATCCATTTCAAAACTAGTTTTATGTGGGGCAATATTCTTGTAAGCTTATTGCAAAGCTTCAGTGATTTTGGAAGATGTTTACTTCAATTTTGTTAACAGTTTGATATTAGCCGAGATTTGCAAAATCACTTTTTTCCATTACACAAAATTAACCTATTGATATCTTTTTAAAGATATCATAAAGAGACTATGAAAAGGGTATTTCTGAGACAATTTGTCTTCAGCCATCCACAGACCACAGGAACATGTTTAAAAACTTTAAAAAAAACCCCTGTGCATGAATGAATACATTTTTATTTGTCCTATTGTATGTGTGTGTAGAAAAGGATATTATATAGACATTAAAATAATAGTATGTTTTTATGTATTAATTGACATAGAATGATGTTCATGATATGAAGAAATGCTTTATTTCATTAATGAAAAAGCAAATTACATATCAGCATTTATAATTTTTGTTAATATGTAAAATTATATGTACTTTTTTCTATGAAGTATAAATGGTATTTTTTATAATACATATTTAAACATTTCTTCCTATTTGATAATCTGTGCTAGAGTTTAATGTTGAAATTCAGCTGTTTCTTTTATGTACTGTATACCAAAGAATTTTGAGGAAATTAAAAAAAATTTTGTTAACAATAAATAAAATAATTTGATATTTTTAACAGTTTTATTGATACATGTCATGTATCATACATTTCAATAGTTCAGTCCTATTAAGAAGAGTTGTGTAATCAACACCACAATTAATATTAGGGTATTTCTTCTTTGTACTCCTTGTTGCTGGGTCCCCTTCTCCTGTCAACCTCCCCTGCCATGACTTAAGGAGGCTATTTATCCAGTTACTGTCTATAGATTTACTGATCCTGGATTTCATATATAGAAATTCATATGCCTTTTGAATCTGCTTATTTAGTTGTTTCTGTAGTACTGAATGTGAAACACATGAAGACCACATATGGTTTCCTGATATTTACTATTGAGTATGTTGGTGTTTCAGTTATACCCTTGGTTTATGTCTTTTTAGCACCTCTACCTTATGACTTTCTAAGAGTAATGCTTGTCCAGGCATTCTTTAAATATGTGATATATACACACCAGTATGTATAATAGAGGATTTTCTGTTCTGTTCAGGTGTAGAGTTTGGTGCTCGAATGATAACGATCGATGGAAAACAGATAAAACTTCAGATATGGGATACGGTGAGTATAACAAAAGTATATTCATGCTTCTTTTATTTTATGCCTGTTATGGTTAGTTAACACACCTATAGCCATGAGGTAACAGAGGATACTTTTTTTAATGCAGTGTTTTCAGCAGATGTTGGTGTTGGTGACCATGTCTGCATAAATTCTCAGGCAATGTACACTAAAGGGAAATAGTCTAGAAGCTGTTTCTTAGAAAAGTTAACAGCATGTTTGTAAAGTATTTATCTTAAACTCATTACATGTAATTTTTATCATAATGAACCATTTTCCAAAGCAAAAGTCAAATACGGCGTTATATCTTTTCTTCCAAAATCTTTTGACTCCTTACTAGAACTTTGCTGGATTACACATTGAGGCTTGCAGTATTTTGTTTTGATTGAAGCGTGTGAAGAAAATCCAGGTTTGTACAGATACATAGTGGGAAGAGAGAGGAGGACCTCAAGGACCCTAAAAAAGACTCAGGGGCTGTTGAGATCTTGGGATGACACTTTGGAAATTACTTCCTGAGAGAGTGTGTAGCTTAATTCTTTCATGGAACCCTAATTGAGAAATAAAGATTTCATTAAATTAAAGAACTCTATGTGTTAAAAAAAAACAACTATACAGACTAGTCTTTTATCATTTTGTTCTTTTATTGTTTGTTTGATTTTATTAGCTCCATATTTTCCCCAACTTCCCATGCCCTAACCCTAAAGAATTATTAATCAGTTACTCTATCAGATTTACCTATTCTGGATTTCATATAAAGAAAAATAATAACAAAAGCCATAATCATCCAGCATCAAAAGAAAACAAAATCCTCAATCCATAAAAAGCAGAAAATAATAAAAATCTAGAACAAGTTAATTATGGTCAGAAAAGAAAACAAATGGTAAGGTGTTACATTTTAACCTAAATATATCTGTAGTAATCTACTTCCCAATGCACTCTGAGGACAAGACTATTCACATTCTTGGTCAGTGGAACTCAATGGAGGCTTAATCCATGGAGGGGGCACTCTGCAAAAGGGTTTTGGGCTTTCACTGCCACCCACAACCGTCTGCACATCAAGTGCTCAGAATTTAAGCTCTAATACAATTCTGTCTTTTGATCTTAGATTTCGTTATTTACACTCTTTGGTTCACTCTAGTTGGTGTGGTCCTTCGGTGTGGATTTAGTTGACATTTCACTTAGATGGCTGCTTATTTTAAGACAAGCCTTAAGACCCCCAAACCACCTTCTTTTTTTTTTTTTTTGACACTATTCTTTCTAATAGCCAGGCACTCTAATTTTTTGACCATACTTTGCTGTAGCATCCATAGCCTCAGTGATTACTTCATGAAGGCAAGTATTGTGCAAAGCCACATCCTAAGAACCAAGTGTTCTTTGATTAGACCTTAACATGAAGTGGAAGCTGAAAATCCATTCATATATCTAAGGTGTACATATGTATGCAGAGAGAAGTGTAGATACAGGAGTGTGTGTGTATCCACTTTATCAACAGCATTATCTGCTTTTTGAGAAATAATATAAGTAACCTCCATGGGACCTTTGATAATTCTAAGACCAATGCTATTAGGCTAGCCAGTTGTATAGCATAAAATACTGTTGAGAAAAGGAAAGTATACATATATAGGAAAGCTATTTAAATTAAAATATAGGGAGTGTTCACTTACACAGATTAAAAACTTAAGTGACTGATTTTTAAGAAACTAAAGAGTGTTAGACACAAGACAATAATGTGAATGCTCATTAACAAAGCCAGAACTATGCCTGAAGGACTGAAACATGTCACAAAAAGCAACATAAAAAAAAGTATGAACATAAGAGATGGTAGCCTAGATTGTCAAGTATACGGTAACCCCCAAAGCACGATACTTGAACCATTGAACACTGGTCTAATGACTTCCAAATCCACAATCTTGGGATAGCATTCATCTGCTTCTTCTCACACTAGGACATTTAGCCTTAAGACCAAAGGGGAGTACAAGGTAAAATCTATTTCACTTAGTGGGGTTCAAAATCAGGTCCATTTGATATGGTTTATGAGCAATGCTGTATCCCTGAAAAAGGCAAAATCTAAAATCCAGGTATCCTATAGCATATGGCCTGGGTCTCTAAGGGCTGAATAGAAACTTGTTTAAAAATGCATGATTAGTAACTAACATAATACAGGGTGGATTCTTCCACTGGGGTTTTATAGCCCTTTTACGTGGTGACTTTATCACTCTCGGTTTAGCATCAGATATCATTCTAAGTGCCAGAGTCGTTCCTTAGCTATCCTAAGAAATTCTAATAGTTAGTTTCTATATACCAAAAATTCACTGCCATCTACTCATAGTGACCTTACAGGACAGGGTAGAACTGCCCTATGGGCTTCCAGGAGCAGAAAGCCTCATCTGTCTCCCACGCTGGTTTCACACTACTGACCTAGCAATAAGCAGCCCAATTCAGAACCCACTACAGCACCAGGGAGAATGTTTTTCACTGAATTTTAACAAGTTAGAATTTACTGGTGCACACTCATTTAGATGAAATAGTGACCATTTTGTGCAACATGACTCAGACCTTAGAATTCACTCATTCACTCAGCCCATTTATTTGTGTGGTTTCTGTGTGCCAGGCTTAGGGGTTTATAGTGGGAAGACCTGTAAGTTTAAGGAGCAGAAAGCCTCATCTTCCTTTCTTGGAGCTCCTGGTGATTTCAAACTGCTGACCCTGGCTGGAGTTATCAACAAAACTTGTAAAGGGGCGTGATGTTTAAACTGATGCTTATTTAGAACTTGTAAATACAATTTTTTCCTCAAGAATTTGGTACAATTTTAATACAAAAATAATTTTAAAAGTTTTTCCCTTGATTTCTTTGCTTAGTTTCCCCCAAAATGTAGAAAATAATTGATCAGAATTTTTGAAGTTATTTGATATGAACCCTATCATTCTTAAGTTCAGAGACAATGGGCCTATCCCATACCAGCCTTTTTTTTACAATGTCACCAGTGAGAGACGGAAATCTACTCTGTTCACATAATTTCTGCTTCTATTTCATAAGTGGATGTAAAGATAACTTTCCTATCCTATTGCTTTTTGACAAGCATTATCTATCAAATTCAGGGAAATTAATTAAGTATAGAGGGGAAATTATGTCAATTAAATTCAGAACCATTTTCTGTTCTCATAATAAAGTGATTGCTCAAAGAATTCCATCTGATGACTATTGAGAGCTTGCTGCAATTTATGATATAAGTGATAAAATCTGCATCCTTGGCCTTCCAACAACCTTTACACCAGCAGATGGTGGGCGTAAAGATGTCATTCATCATTTATTTACAATGGGCTTTATTTATTCTAGTGTCAACAGCTGCCCCAGGGAATGGATTATTGAATTCAAATGTGAGGCTCTTGGTTATTTGCTTCTTTTCAAATTTGTCTTCTGATCTTAGTTGCTAGGAGTCCATTCTGTGCTGTCATAATGATTCATATATTGTGAAGCCATTCAGTAAGTTGGGTTGTTAGAGATTGCCAGAATCATTTAGAGGGCTTGCGCCTTGAGGGGAAAGGGAGGGCTATCTGCATGTGTGTCTGGTTTGACTTAAGCAATAGTGGTATTATGTAACTTTTTCATAAAGCTATTAAAGTGAGGCTTTCTTCTTTTCCTTTATGTACTCCTTCCCTATCTGCCCAATTTCTTCATATGAATAATATGGAAGACAGAGTGCTAAACAAGCACTCACAACCTTTTCTTTTCTAACAGGCAGGACAAGAGTCCTTTCGCTCCATCACAAGGTCATATTACAGAGGAGCAGCAGGTGCTTTACTAGTATATGATATTACAAGGTGAGAACCTGCAAGTATTTCACTTGTGTAGTTAATGTTGAGAAGTTTTCTAAATAAGTATGATTACCAGTACTGCCTGTATAGCTGCCATTTATGCTGTACCTTGAAAACTTGTGTTTCTTGAATATAATTTAAATTTACTATAGGAATCTGAAACTAAATTCTATTTCTTATATGAATAAGCATCCCAAAGTTGATCAGTTTGATACTGTTGTTTACACCTTGTCATTTTCAAGAGTGAAGTTACATTAATGAAATATAGTCAATGAACTCAAATTGTGCTGAAGCCGTTACTCCTGATATAAGTGGATATGAGTAAAATCTTTAAATTAAGGTGACCAGACGTCCTGCTTTTGGCGGAACAGTCCCGATTTTCAACAGTTTTTCCCGTGTCCCGCGGCATTTTTAAAAAGTCCCGATTTTTGGAAAGAATGCAGGACAGGCTAGGGTATACGGTTTTCGGCTGCCATGTGACTATTTCGTCAGGATATGAGTTTTATCAATGGTGTCCCGCTTTACCAGTGTTAAAATCTGGTCACCTTACTTTAAATGAAATATATGATACAGTATTCCTATAAGCCTTGAGTTGAAATATTTTTAAAATAATAATCAAATTATCATTTATGTTTAGGAGAGATACATTCAACCATTTGACCACCTGGTTAGAAGATGCCCGCCAGCATTCTAATTCCAACATGGTCATTATGCTTATTGGAAATAAAAGGTAAACAGATGGAGATTTAGCATTTAAAATGCATTAGTGATGAAGGCATGGACTACTGTGTACTGTTTACTTTCTACTTTCCTTGTAACTATTTTCCATGTCTTCATTTGTCCAAATATAAATAACTGGTTTCTTTTAATTTTCAAATTTTGAAAATTTTATGCTCCTTTGATTTTTAAAATACAGGTTTGTTTCTGAACTCACAAAAGTATTCTCTTTCACAGTTTAATGTTCATTGTATGAATTTATACATCTCATAAATTAGACTGGTACATTCCTACTCTAAGTCCTGAAACATTTTTATTATAATCACAACAATGGTAAGCACATAACTACAACTTTAATTTATGTTATTAATTTTAATAAAAAGCAAAAAGCCAAACTCACCGCCATGGAGTCCATGCCAACTCATAGTGGCCCTATATATGGCCCAGGTAGAACTGCCCCGGGGAGTTTCTCCTTATGGAAGTAGAAAGACCTGTCTTTTCCCCTTGGAGCCACTAGTAGTTTCAAACTGCTGACCTTGCAGTTAGTAGCCAGTGTACAGCCACTAAGCTACCAGGATTCCTTATAAAATTAATAAGAGCGTCATTATTATAGCATATTCAAAAGAGAACTTAAAGTACCATGCATTTATGTCTTCCTCCAAGCAATAGTGGAATGAATTTATTAATGGTTTTAAAACTGATCGATTTGCACAGAGCAGTAATAGTATCCCACTGAACACAGCTTGCTTTACTGTAGACATGAAATATTTGTATTAGTATCCATTTTCTACAAGTAACTTTCTATCTTGACAAGTCTTTCAAAGTTTGTGGAATGTAGTTAAGGCAGTGCTTAGAAGAAGAGTGTGAAAGTTTCAGATCAGTAACCAAGTTTCCACTTTTATTTATTTTATTTTTTTAAAGATCATTTTGTTGGGGGCTCTTACAGCTCTTATAATAATTCATACATCAATTGTATCAAGCATATTTGTTCATATGTTGCCATCATTATTTTTAAACATTTAGTTTCTATTTGAGCCCTTGGTATCAGCTCCTCTTTTTTCCTTCCCTCCCATGCTCATGACTTATGATAAATTATAAATTATTATTTTCATATTTTACACCGACCGCTGTCTCCCTTCTCCCATGGTTTCTGTTGTTCAACCCCCGGGGTGGGGGTGGTTATGTGTCAATCATTGCGATTGGTTTCCCCTTCCTCCACTCCTCTCCCCACCTTAGCCCAACCCTCCAGGCATCACTACTCTCATTTCTGTTCCTGAGGGGTTTATCTGACTTGGATCCCATGTGTCATGAGCTCTTATCTGTACCAGTGTAGCAGTTTCCACTTTTAAATTTAGAAAGACAAGAGTAAGTTGAACCTTAGGATAAGTAAAGCGATAACAAAGTGCAAAAGTCAATGTAGTAGAGAACAGAAAAACAATAGAGAAAATGAAAGTAAAAGCTACTTTTTGAGCAGATAGATATTGATCAAGAATAAAAGAATTAATACCACTGATTGTATATTTGAAAATGGCTAAAATATGACTAGGGTCTTAAAAGCTCCTGAACATCCATCTAGTTGCAGCTATTCATCTCTCCCAGCCTGGAGGAAAGAGGAGTGCAGAAAACTTAAGATGCATAGATACAGATAGTCTAATGGACTAATGGATCGTATAAACATCAGTGTATGCAACCCTGAGACCGGAACTAGATGGTGCTCAGCACCACCACCTGCTGCTCTTAAAAGAATCACATTAGATGTTCCTGGATAAAGTGAAAGAAAAATGTAGAACAGAATTCAAAATTATAAAACTGCCAAGACTGAATTTTAGTTACCCGTTAAGTCCTGAATTTTACTCACCCCCCAATTATCAATTTTCAGCAAAGTAGTAGAGAGTTCATAAGGGAACATTGACACCAATGAAGTACACACACCATAGAATAATGAACCATTTGAGATAACAAAGGCAGCATACACTCAAAGACAATTCAGAGGGTTAGGAACGAAGGAAGAATGGAAGCAGGAAACATAAAGGAAGTGCGATGTTATAATGTGGAGACTGGGAAAAAAATGACATGGAACAAAATGTATATGAATAACTAAATAGAAAACTAATCTGTAAACCTTCACTCAAAATATTTTTTAACTAAATATTTAAATTGCTAATTTTAAGTTATAAATTATACTGCAGTTTTTTTTCTTTTTAGGTTATGGAAATTAAAGGACAAGCCACAGACTGGGAGAAAAATAATTGTAAAGCATTATGTTTTATAGAAGATTTGTTCTAGATTGTATGAAGAATTACTTAAGCGCATTAATAAGAACAGTCTGGTTTTAAAAGTAGTTCAACATTTTGGCAATGTAACAGGCTGTAAGATCAACATAGAAAAAACAGTTGGATTCTTACATATTGAAGACAACTATGAAAAAGAATTTAAAGGAATAATGCTATTTACAGTAACTACCTAAATGATAAAATGTGTAGGACTAACTAACTAGAGAAACAAAAGACTTATACAAAGAAAACTGTAAGACATTTCTAAAAGAAACGAAGAGAACCTTACATAAATATAAGAATATCTCATACTTGTGGATAGGAAGACAATATAGTGAAAATGTCAATATTACCGAAAGCAGGCTATAAATTCAATACAATTCCAATCCAAGTTCCAGCACAAATTATGAAAGACATGGAGAAACTAATCACCTACTTTATATGGAAAGGAAAGAAATCCAGGATAAATAAGATACTATTTAAAAACACAAAGTTAGGAAGCCTTTCACCCGTAGATTTCAGCTGCAGTAATCAAAACAACTTGGTATTGGTGCATGGATAGATACCATGTAGAGATCAGTGGATTAGCAGAAAGAACCCAGACATGCAACCACTCACCTACATGCACCTGATTTTTTAAATAAAGGACAAAAGCAATTTAAGTGGGGAAGAGATACCCTTTTCAACAACTAGTGCTAAGAAAATTGAACCTCCATCTGCAAAAGAATGAAACAGGACCCATACTTCCCACCAGGTACAAAAAGGAACCTAACGTGTCCAACAATCATATGAAGAAATGCTCTCATTCATTATCTAAAGGAGAAATGCAAATTAAAGTAACAATGAGACACTACCTCACACTGGCACTCTTAATAAAACTTAAAGAGATGGGAACACTCATATGTTGCTGGATTCGATTGGAGAATTGTACAACCACTATGGAAATGTGAATTCATAAATACCTTATCCTGTAGTCTCTCTACTTGGTATATACTCCCAAAGAAGTAAAGAACAAGACACAAACAGATATGTGCACATCCATATTTATCCCAGAATTTTCTAATACCAAAAAGAAGGAAACAATCAAAAACCCTGGCTGTGGAGGAATAGATAACCTCCATACATCCTTATAAAATAATGATGAGTCTGTAAAACACCCCATGAGGTCACTATGCTCATCAAAGTTAGTCTCATAACGATAAATATTTCATGACATAATTATAAAGGGAAAAATGGCTTTAACATCAAAAGAAATGACTTGGAAAACCGATGAAGTCGGGGCATGCACAGCAGGGAAGGGAAATAGGAAGGGTGGCTGGGAAAAGGAAACAAGAAGGAAGAAGCACATAAGGAGAGGTGGGTGTTACTGGGACACCGTCACTGTTCTGGTGAGATGGGCTGTGCACCTATGTATAGTATAGTTTTCTTTGTATGTGTTATATTCCACAAATAAGGGGGATTCTGTTTTTTAAATAGGCAAAAGATCTGAACTAGTTCTTCCTTAAAGAAGATAAAAAGGTGGCAGATAAGCACATGAAATATTTTAAAATGCAACATTGATTTTGAGAGAAATGCATATTAAAGCCATTGTACTCTCAATAAAATGATACAAATAAAAAAGATTAGTTATAAGCAAGTGTTGGCAAAGATGTGGAATATCTGAAACTCCTGATACTGCTTACTGGAATATAAAAATATTTACTTTTTGAAACAATTTTTTAGTTTCACTAACATTTGTTACACGACCTACTGTTTTTACTCATGTAATTACCTGGGACAAATTTCTTTTAAAGGTTCACACAAAAAATTATACATGAAAGTTTGTCACAATATTGTTTGTAATAACCAACTCTGGAAACAACTCAAATGTTCATTAGCAGGTGAATGGATAATTTATAGTGTAATTCTATTACAGTGAAATGCTACTCAGTCACAGAGAAGATAATTATCAGTAACATGAAAGAAAGTGGATAAATCTCAAACAAACATGCTGAGTGGAAAAGCGGGTTGGTGAGACCTATATGGTTTCATTTATATAAAGTAATAAAAAATGAAACAATCTTTACTGAAAGATTAGTGATTGTCTAATTGATTATAGTGCAATATGCAAAAACTTAATGAGATGATGATCTTATAGGTATACATACACGGAAACTCATCAAATTTTATACTTATGAGTTATATTTGAAGTTTTTTGTATGTCAGCTATACCCCAGTAACGCTGTAGATAACTATAAACTTCAAAGTAACACATAGATTGGGTTTTTGAGAGGGGAGGGAGATTTCGTGAGTTGCATTTCTGAAGTAAAACGTCAACTGTACTTCTTTGTAACTAAAACTATTATCTTACATTCTTAAGGCCTTAAGTGACTCTTTAGTCTCTTAACTGTAAAGTATTCTTGTACAACTGAATGGTAATATCTGGGCCAAGAAAATGAGAAGACTTGGGAAATAAAGGTAATTTTGAGTTCTGTTGTATTACCAGATTTTAGGAGGGGTGATCGTGGTCTTGTAACTATTTCTAGTGTTTTTGTACTGAGTTTCTCATAACTTAAAATTTGTTTGCTGACCATGAGGAGCTTATCATTCATTCATGAAAAGGAAAGCTAATTGTAGAGTATATACTTAAGAGATGTTTCCTGTGATGGTAGATAGATGGCTCTTATAGTTAAGAATAACACAGCTGTGGAAAGAAGTTTTAAACTAAGGAAAGGGGAACTAGAAGAGGATGTGATAACAAAGGATGAGTGGGGGTTCTGACCTGGGATATAATAAAAGGTCCTAAATAGAAGGGGAAGATGGGAAGACCAGACTTACCAATAACTACTATAATTCTTGTAGCTTTGAAGTTCATTTACTTTATAGTGCTTGTCATAGTGTCATCTTCCTGCTAGTATTTCACAAGACTACCTCAGAAATTACCAGCCCTTTCTGTTGCCTTTGTGTAGTATTTCAGATCAAACTTTCTTTCCATCATTTCATAGTTAGTATCACAACTAAATGCAGAGGTGGCATTTTTATAAAGTGTGCAATATGAAGGGACTTTAAAGAGTTTGTGGAAAAATGGAATTAAAATCTAATGGAATTTTCCCGTGAACATTTTGAAGGCCCTTCATATTTTAAAGTATAATGGTGATGACTATAAAATCGTCATCAGAATCACTCACAAAATTTCCAAATTTATAGAAACTATACTGACTGAAAATGTCTGATAATTATATGAGGGGATACCCCCCCCAAAAAAAAACCTAGAAAAAGCTCTGCTTAGCATTTTAGTAATTATGCATTACTTAAGTAGTATGCGATACTTTAATAGTATGGATTTTTCCCAGTAGGCCATTATTGAGCAACTTGCTTAGCAACTGAGTTAGTGCACCCAGTGGCATGCCTGGGAAGGTTCTCTCTGAATTTTTTTGTAAAAGCACTTTTGTTCAAACCTCATTTTTTTTTTGTGATGGACAATTTAAGAGAATAGTATGCTGCTGTGAAATTTTGTTGCCTGCTCAGGAAAAATGCCACAGAAACTCGTGATGTTAAGGACAGCACTAAGGGAAAAACTCAAGTGTACAAGTGGTTTTCTTGTTTCAAAAAAAGTGAAATGTCAACTGATGACAAACCTCGTTTTGGACATCCATTAATTTCCTGAGTTGACGAAAATGTGGACAAAATTCATGCACTTGTGCTTAAAGACTGACGACAGACCAGTGAAGAGATTAGGAAGCTATCTGGACTATCTTGCAGCTCGGTGCAGCAAATTTTAATGGGAGATTTGGGAATGAGAAGAGTCGCTGCAAAATTTGTGCCTCGGGTTCTCACTGACCAGGAAAAAGAGCATTGATGGAAACATGCCGTGCTCTGAAAGAACAGCTCTAAAGCAACCCAGACTTTTTTCCCCAAGGTCATTACTGGTGACAAGAAGAGTGCTATTCTTATGACCCCTAAAGCAAACATCAGTCAGGCCAGTGGAAGATGCCATTGTCATCTCGCCCACAAAAAGTTCATCAAGCAAAATAAAAAACCAAGGCAATGCTCTTTTTTGTCTTTGTTTTTTGATGTGAGGGGGATAATGCATTTGGAGTTTGTTCCACCAGGTCAGACTGTTAATCTAGCTTTATATTTAGAGGTTCTGAAAAGATTGTGTAACAGTATGTGGCAAAAAAGGCCTGATTTGTGGCAAAGGGGAACTGGTTTTGCCACCATGACAATGCACCAGCTCACGCAACCATCTCTGTGCCAGTTTTTGGCAAAAACATCATGCCTCTTTTGTCCCACACACCTTACTCATCTGACCTCACTCTGGGCAACTTCTTTTTGTTTCCACAAATGAAGAGGGACATGAAAGGACAGCAATTTGACGGTGTAGCCATCCAAACAGATGAGTTTGAAAAATGTTTCTAAGAATGGAATTGCAGGTTTGACAGATATATTAAGTGTAATGGAGAGTACCTTGAAGGTCAGAAGGTTGTTTTGTAAAAAAAATTAAATACATAGCTTTGAAAAAAATTCCGATGTTTTTTATACCCCCTTGTAATACAATATATTGTATATTATAACACATTCTGTTTCTGTCTAGTAGTGATACCCCTTCTCCTACCACAGTGGCCATATTTTGTCTGAGCTTACTCCTCCCCTGGACTCCCAGTCGTGCCTACTGGGCTAGGGAAAACTCCCATTCCCACTATATTTAGAACCAGAACCCCAGCTTGCACTTCTGTGAACTTATTTTTTTTAACTCTACTTTTTAATTTATTCTTTAATAGCATTCATAGAAACTTAGTTATTCTAGCAGAAAGATGAAGAGACAAGTCTTGCTTTCTTTTATATAAATTATTATTTTAAGTGGTTCACTTCTCTAAGAATCTAGTATACTCAAAGGCAACAAGGGATGTTGTACTAGATCCTCCCTTCAAGATTCTCTTACTTCGAATATAGAACCAGAGTACAGAATCCTTTTTCTGCTGGGTTGTTAATTCTTTTAAAGGTTATGTGCTATAAATACTGTATGCCTCAGTATTCAGAATCATGCAATTAGTTATATGTTAAAAAGTAATTGGAAAAACAAACCAAACAAAAAAAGTAATTGGAAGTTTGGAACTAGATCGTGGTGATTATTGTATAACATGAACAGAAATAATGTCACTGAATCATACATGTAAAAATAGTTGAAATGGCAAATATTTTTCTTTTATATGTTTCACCATGATAACTTTTCAAGAATTGATTGAATGGTCAGTACAACCGTAAATCTAATGGTGCTCATTTTCACAGGTACCTCTAATTGTATCATATTGGTTAATACAGTGACTTTTCCCCTCATTATTTAGTGATTTAGAATCTAGAAGAGAAGTAAAAAAAGAAGAAGGTGAAGCGTTTGCACGTGAACATGGGCTTATCTTCATGGAAACTTCTGCTAAGACTGCTTCCAATGTGGAAGAGGTAAGTAAGAGAGGTCCTTTTAAATGTTAATTACATTTTTACTTCATAAGAATTTTTTATATATCTTCACTTTTATGTATTGCAATTTCATCCATAAACTCATGTTTTTGAATAAATAGAAGATAACCTGCATTTCTTTCCTTTGAAAAGTCTTATTCCAGTCATTTTATATCAGACTAAAAACTTATATTCTCGTCTCTAATTGCTTAGACACATCTTTATGTATATTTTCCCCAAATTAGCTTTTGTTTTATTGCAGGGGGGATTCTTCCAACACTGATGAAATTTAGAAATAGTTCAAGACAAGAAACATTTGTAGCTATTTTATATACTAATGTTTAAATGGAAAAAGACATTTTTTTTGCTATGTAAGGCTTTACAAAGCACAGAAATTCTGACTTTTTTAATCAATGAAAGATGGCATTAACACCATTAATTCCATTGATTGACCTGAACTATTAGAATTTTTCTGTACAAACTGATATCTGTGTTTGGGTTTGCTGGTTATGTCCTATGCATAAATGATAAGACTGTTAATCCTCTGTATACCACTAAGGAAAATTTATCACTATGTATTTAAAAAAGAGGAAATTAGGCTATGAAAATAATGATTTTGCCAAAATAATGTATGGTCTCCATTTTCTGGGTAAAAAGAGCAACTGCAAAAGGGGCTTTTAATAATTGAAGAATACCATTGTTGTAAGTATGGCAAAGGATAGAATTCAGGCAGTAGCTAGCACTGTGCCTTAGAAATAAGGAAGCAGTTACTAATTCTTCTTAAGAGTGATACTTTGACCCCTTGTAAATACCCCTTACATTTAGTTGATTACAATAACTCAACAGCATTGATATTTTCACTGAGTAATTCTTGGATCAGTTGTCATACCACATCTATATTGGATGAAGTCCTTGGTTAACACATTTGGCTGAGATCCACCCAGAAGCACCTCAGAAGAAAGGCCTAGTGATCTACTTACAAAAATCCAACCATTCAAAACCTAATAGAACACACAGTTCGGCTCTGACACACATTGGATCACAATTCCAGGCAGCTAGTCACTGTTAGACTTGATTAGGTGATCGATAATTATTCCTTATACATTTTATACAGGGACCAGCTAATGTTTTTTATGTGTTGTAGCCAATAATTAAAGCTTGGTAAAATATTAGAGTAACAGTTCACTTTATACAGCAAACTGTAAAAAGAAATCTGTCATTTTGCTGAACTTTGTATTATATTAGAAACAGTCATTGCTAATATTTTGTTGGGGAGGCCTTCCCACACATCTGAAACATAACCTTATTGACTGTATATTTTTTGGTTGCTTTTCACACTGTATATTTTAAAACCAAAAACACAATTTAATGAAGGATAACACTATGAGATCAGAAGACAAGGATTAATTACTTTAAAACAATTTTAGATTTCTAGTTTTGATGCCACAAGTGTACCTTCTAATGCTTTTATGTTAGTTCTTCTTAACAAGTACCAACCAAAAACCAAACCCATTTCCATCAAGTGGATTTCAGCTCATAGCAATCCTCTATAGGGTAAATCATTATAGGAGCAGATAGCCTCATCTTTCTCCAGAGGAGCAGCTAGTGAGTGTGAACCACTAATCTAGCACTTAGCAGTCCAGTGTTTACTCAACAATGCCATCAAGATTCCTTAAACAAGCACCAGTATCAATGTTTGCATAAGTAGCAAACTACTATGTCTTTTGGCTAACCATCTAAATGAAATACCAGACTTCCATTAATGCTTTGGTAACATGTATTAGAAGAGATCTGTATCTGTGATTAATGGAATTAATATAAAATTTGATCTTGCAGGAATTCCCCGTATTTGTATGAGAGCATTTTACTAAGCAGTGTAATTTCTTCCCAGAAACAAAGTATTTTAAGAAATATTTTGGCATGATTTTATTTTTAAGTATTCACCGACTGGCATTACATAATACGATACCTACCCTCCTAGATATACCTAAAAGCTAAATTTATTTAGTGATAAACTATTTTAAGACTGTGGAGAAGGAGGCTGAAATGAAACTTGGCTCTCTTAAATGGCTTTGGAACTGAATAATATTAAATGAATATTAAAATAATGGTAATAACCAAGGACGAGGTGTAATTTTCTCTATTCATCCCACTAAATACAACTAAACACAGAATATTACATATAAAACAAACATAAGACTCTTAACATGTGGAGAGGAGACTAGTAACCTGGGAACCTTAGATATGACACAGCAGTGAGTACCCTGGATTTCCTTTTCCCTCTTATATCCCAGGCTGGATATTTAAGAACCTGGCACACTCGTGTTAGAAGCATAAAAATCAAAAGCCTTCTGACTTAAGCCAAAGAACCAGAAAGGGGGCAACTTCACAGTACAGAAAGCTGTTAGACAATATGTACACTATGGTAACCAAACATTGCAGAAAAAACTGACACACTACCATCCACATCTACAAAAGCCAAGAAGGAACATACTTCCACTATTGGAAGTCAATAACAAGGTTTTCCTACCCCCACTAAGTAGTAATGAAGGTCCCCCAAGTCAGGTGTCAACAGATGCCAAATGAGGAACCTAATCTTGTACACCTACCTGCAGTAATGAAATACCTCATCTTCCCCCTCAACAACCACACTTTTCTTATTGGAATGGTATTGTGTTAGGCTGGATTGTCTAGAGAAACGAATCCAGTGGGACTCATAAGAAAGTACTCTGTTTTATATGAAGAATCTTACATCAAGAAGGCATCCCAACCGTTAAGTCAGTACAAGCCAGGACCCTCTTCAGACTCATAGCTGCAAGGAAGGTTATAGGCCCAGTGTGTACAAAGTCATGTGAATCCAAAATTGGTGGAAATGCGGCAGGGCTGCGATAACACTCTAGGTTGACAGCCCATATGGAGGTGGGCAGAGTCCCTGCAAGCAGGACAGCAGAAGAGCAGAGAGAAAGCAGGAAGATCTCAGTGTCTGTCACTCTTACACAAAAAGGCTCTCACGTGAGGCTTACACAGTTGGAGCTACAACCCAATTGATAGGTTGGACCTCACCCCTACCTTGCCCAGGAATGTGGAGTTCACATAATATCTAACCATCACAGTTCACATAATATCTAAAGCAGAGGTTTAAAGAGGTCCGGTCTTATGCTGTCTAAGATAGCCAGAAGTCTAAAGAAAATAACCAGAAAATATTAAATTTCATACATTTAATGATGAGATACTCAATAGGTGTCAACAGTGAAATGACTGAGATGTTAAATTATCTGACAGATTTTAAAGTAACCATCAGAAAAAAAATTAATGCAGAGTTGTGGAGACGAAACAAATTAAAAGACTTCTTAGCACTCAGCTAGAAAAGAGAACTTGAATTTCAAATTTGAAATTAAAAAAGAAAAAAAGAAACTCCATGAGTGAGCTTATCAACAAAATGGAGACAGCAGAGGAAAGAATTAGTAAACTAGATAATAGGAACCATAGAAACTATCCACTCTGATATGCAGAAAGAAAATGGTTGGCAGAGGAGGGGTGGGGTGAACAGCACCTCAGGAGCCTTTGGAACTGTAACAAAAAAATGTATCCTTTGTGTCATCAGAATTTTAAAAGGAAAGGAGAAATAGGTGGTATTGAAATAGTATTTGAAGAAATAGTAACTGAAAGAATACCAAATTAGGCCAAAAAATAGATTAGAAAAGCCAAATGAACCCACAAAAAGATAAACCCAAGAAATCCACACCATGATAAATCATAATCAAACGTATGAGAGTTAATTATAAGGAAAAGGGTTTGAAAGAAACAAACATCAGACCTTTTGTGTAGTGGGAAGATCCTTTGAATAGGAGCATATTTTTTAGGTAGAAGCCAGAAAGAACGTTTATAAGATTTTTTCACAAACTAAAAGAATCATGTATGAGCAAAGGGTTTTTTTTTTTGTTTTTTTTTTTAGAAATAAAACCAAACCCAAGAAGTCTCAGATGAAAGAAAACAATATTTGTGAATAATGAACTTATTGTGAAAGAATTATTAAAGAATGTTATTTAACAGAAAATAATAAAAGAAGGAATATTAGAATATCAGAACACAGAATGCAAATTATGGAATTAAATAAGTTTTAAGTAAAAATAAAATGGAAATTTGAGTTACACTGGATTCTTTAGAGAACGTAAACCAGTTGTCATTTGTATGTACAAGGGGGTATCCCCCCAAAACCCGGAATCTTTTCTCTCAAAGCTATGTATTTAATTTTGTTTTTTTTACAAAACCTTATCACCTTCAAAGTACTCTCCATTACACTTAATACATTTGTCAAATTGTGATTCTATTCTTGCTCACCTAGTGAGAAAAATGCATACTATGAAAGCTCTACCAAGCAGAGCTCCTTTCCTTTTTTGGGGGCGGGGTAACCTCTTGAATATGAGGAGAGATGCTTATATCAAGAAAAATGGCTCACATGGGTGTAGAAGCAGTTAGGTCTAGTTTGGTTGTTGGATATTATGCTGAAGATTTTTCCTGATACATGTGGCTGATGGATCCAGGAAATTGAAAGATCAGAGGTCAGTGCAAGCAAAGATGGGTCAGCAGGTCATATGTTATTACATTCTGATGATAGCTCCTGGCAGATGCTGTCATGGACCACCACCAAAGGTCCCAAGAGACCAGGTGCAATATTCATGCCAATAGGAAGGGGAAAGGACGGGCCACTTCTCTGCATCAACTCTTTTATAGAGATAGAATACACCCCTAAGGAGACATTATCAGGCTGTGACCTGCACCTTCAGGGTGGAGGTGTGGGGTGGGGTAGGCACTCACCATCAACCCAAGGAGATTCCCAGCCAGGCCAGGTTGACATAAAACCTGACTACCATGTTCCACCCCTCATCATCTTGACACCTGTACACTTCTTTAAACTGACATGATGTAATATACATCGCGTGTACTGTATAAATGAAAACAAACACCATTTACATCTTACATTCTGTATAAGAACAAGACAA